CAACATAATATTAAATTGTGCACTGCCAGAGGTTCGAATGGCGTAAAGCATAGCTGAATCTACTTAATCTACCGAGGCGTTCTGCCCGTTCCACTAACGATAAACACATTCAAACTGTTAATCAAGAATTCATGAAAGGGAGATTATCCAAGGAAATGGCAATTCCTCTTTTAACAGTCAAGAAAATGTTGTTTAGCCTTTTAGAAATTTATTTACCAAGTGTGAGATTATTTAGCATTTTAAATTGACAATCAGGTTGCAAATATTACAAGCAAAACATGTTTTTGTGTCCTAGACTATCCGGACTTAAGCATAATAGTAGCTACACACGGACTCTCGTCACCTCGTGCGTGCGTAGCCCCCACAAATAGGAGCACATATTAATTTATTTCACCTATGGGGTCAATTCCCTCTTACAAGGTTAGAAAGGAGACTTATCTCGCTTCGAAGTTCCATAACCGGCTTCCGAGCCCTCCCGACGACTCAAACCGACGCCCAACGCTCCAAAAATAGTGAATAATGATGCAGACTCATTAATATATACTCAAATATTCATTATATCCTATATACGAAAATTCCCAACTCCGTTTGAAAAATCGATAAATTACCCTCGGGCCCACGTGTCCGGATTCCGAATATTTTCGAAGATAAACTTTGCCCATGACATCACGGACTCAAATATATAATTTATTCTGAATTCCATGTCCAAAATTCATGGTAAAAATCTAAATACACAAGATTCTAGGTTTTTCCACCAAAACCCCAATTTCTACTAACTTCCATGTTCAAATTTATATAAACTCATGTATTTAACTCAAATTGTGAAGAAGGCATTTACCCCATCATGATTGATGAAGATGGCACTCCAATGTGCTCCAAAATCGGCTCCCATGGGCGAAAATTAAATGAAATAGAGCCAAACCCTCGTTTTTTTAAAAAGACACTGCCGGCCCTAACTTTCGCACCTGCGGTCACTTGACCGCTTCTGCGGTTCCGCAGGTGCGGCCCAGCTACCGCTTTTGGGGTCTATCCCTCAGCTGCCCACTTCCTCTTCTGCACCTTCCTTCCCGCAGGTGCGGTCTCTCTTCTGTGGCGAGATGACCGCATCTGCGGTCTCACCAAATCGTATTTGCGCCCGTTTGGCCGCTTCTGCGGCTCCGCACCTACGGGCAAAACCTCGCAGGTGCGGTTACACCAGATGACAGCAAGCTTATAAATCTTCGTAAGGCCGAATTCAATCCGTTAACTACTAGGAATCCACCCGAGGCCCCCGGGACCCCGTCCAATCACACAGACCCATTCCAAAACATAATGCGGACCTGCTCGAGGCTTCAAATCACATCAAACAACGTTAAAACCATGAATCGCACTCCAATTCAAGCTTAATGAACTTTAGAGCTTCAAACTCCTACATTCGATGCCGAAACCTATCAAATCACGTCCGATTGACCTCAAATTTTGCACACAAATAACATTTGACATTACGGACCTACTCCAACTTTCCGAATCAGAATCTGACCCCGATATCAAAAAGTCCACTTCCGGTCAAACTTCTTAAAAAACCTTCAAATTTCTAACTTCCGCCAAACGACTCCAAAATGACCTACGGACCTCCAAATCCACTTTCGGACGCGCTCCCAATGCCGGAATCACCATACAGAGCTATTCTCAAACTCGAAATTCCAAACGGACATCGTTAACATTGAAATGCAGTTCAACCCTAATTTACGAAATTCTCCCAAAAATGCTAACTTCCACAATAGCCGCCGAAACGCTCCCGGGTCATCCATAACCCGACCCGAATATATGCCCAAGTCCGAAATCATCATACGGACCTACTGGAACCTTCATATCCTGGTTCCTAGCCCGTTTACTTTAAAATCCAATCTTAGTCAATTCTTCCAACTTAAAGCTTTTGAGATGAGAATTTTCTTTCCATTTCAACTCCGAACTTCCCAAAATTCAATCCGACCACGCGTACAAGTCATAATACCTGAAGTGAAGCTGCTCAATGCCTCAAACCGCCGAACAACACGTTAGAGCTCAAAATGACCGATCGAGTCGTTACATTAATAGTATACAATAGTGTGGTTCAACTATTTTATGTGTTGTATACCGTCATGATATACAATTATGTGAATTGTATATTCTGATGGTAGATAGCGTACAAAACTATTCTGTGTAATTTGTTAATGCATAAATTTTGTAAATGGGTAATTTTTTACTTCGTATGGTTAGTTAGTTAGTTAGAAGTCCTTAAAGAAACACCCTATTTTATGAGTCCAAATAGCACGGGCTAGCCGGTTTTCGAACTGGTCATTCAAAAATAGCCAGCATTTGTAAAGTCATTGCAAAATAGCTACTATTTTGCTGCAACACGGAAAGTTCCAGCATAATATATTGAAAATCGGTGCACCTGTGTTTGAACTTCTAGCATATTATGCTGGAACTCCAACATGCGGAAATTTCCAACATAATATACTGGAGATTGGAGCACCTGTATATGAACTTCCAGCATATTACTATTCTTTCATATTTTCTTCCTTTTACCAAATAAATGTCAAAGATCATTAAAGAATTAATTGAGAATAATCAAGATTTATAACGTACATATGAATAAATTACACCGACGATGTATAGTTTGGATGTGTACAGTTTCAAAAACATTAAAAAATTATGTTTGTCTAACGATATTGCGTTGACCAGACCAGTATATAACTTGCACGGCTCAATAATACCTACAGAAGTCATTTTCTAATGAATTTTAAGGGTTTCTTTGTGTTAGATTCATTCCCTTGGGTTGTGAGTAGGGGTGGCAAAATGATTAAAAGAAAACTGTTAATCACACATATTATCCACTAAAAAAAGGGTTGGATAATGAACTTTTTAAAAACGGGTCAAATATGGATAAGAACCATATTATCCATTTAGAAAATGGATAACCCATGAGTAACCAATGGATAACCAATGGGTCTAACTTTTACATTTGTAAAGCCTCAAATTGGGGGTTCCTCAAGTTAGAGAGACTAAGAATTCTTCTAAAAGTGATCATATACAAGAAGACATGGATAATATGGGTCGGGTCGGATAATTGATCCGTGTTTTCATTGCCTGTTTTCGACCCGAACCATATCCAACCCGCCCCGCCCGTTTGCCACTCCCGGTTGTGAGTGTGATATTACTTCTTTATCCTTCAAGTAACGGTTTCGAATTTGAGTCTTAGGCATGAAGTAAACTTTTTAGGGAACATTTTAGGAATTTTTACCTCCTGTAGCAAAGGTTGATACCTTATTTATTTTAAATAAATACCCTTTTAAAAAATTATATTCCATAGCTACCTTTTGATTTTTATAGCAAAATATCTATTTATGGTCACCTCCTACCCTTATACCATAAAATACGCTTTGATTTATTTTTCTCTCTCATTCTTTCAGATTTTTCTCCACCCTCTCTTTCTCTCAACGCCAGTCTTTCTCCATGAATACAACTATAATTCTCTACTAATTCATCTCCATTGTCGAAATCAAGCCCTAAAGAGAAAGTCCCAATAAAATTCGCGACCAGACGAAGAAGAATTCAATGGTTGTAAGTGGGCTTCATTATAACAAAGGCCGGAGAGACAACAACCTCTAACAGTTCGATTTAAAGCAGCTTTCCAATATGTGCCAATACGTCCGGTAGTGGTCTTTAAACATTTGGATCAGAAGATAAAGAATAAATTGGGGCTGACAATGAAAATTTAACTATGTTTAGTGGTTGAAGAGTCTGTTTAGAAATTAATGTCTTATGTTTCGTATCAATATCAAAATCTGACACAGTGTAAATTGGGGTTGGCAATGGAGGTTCGAAATCTGCTATCGACGAGACGACATTAAGGTTATTCTTGAACAAAGACGACGGAGTTTGGGGCTGAGCAACTTGAAAAGTCTGTTACTTTTTTTTTCATTATGTTCCAATGTATCTCGTTGTATTCTATGTATTTCATTGTATTCATTGTCTTTTTTTTTCATTGTATTTCAATGTATCTCGTTGTATTCCATGTATCTCATTGTATTCACTGTGTCGCTATATTCCATGAATGTACTCATATATTTTTTTTAATTAATATAATATGTATTCAGATTTATAATTGAGTTTGTTGAGTTATATTAGGAGTCTATTTGTGTTAATTGATTCACTTTCCGTTTAAAAACAGCTGAAAAGACCACGATTTACGCTATTTACATTACTGTATTCACAAATACATATCGTGAATACAATCGAATACAATAATTTTCTAGCTGTATTCCCCTGTTGCACGAAACTGAAAATATAGCTATAGGAAGTAATATAGTAAATGATAGCTACAACTAGCTAATAACCACTAAACAATAGTGGTTTTTGAAAATTTCTCAACATTTTACCTCCAATATAGGACTTTCTGACGCAATTTCTAATTTAATTGAACCTCAATACAAAAATACCTGGCTTCGAAAAAGAATTTATTATCTTAAAAGAAGATAAATTAAAAAATTCTGAAGGAACATGAAAGCACGATGAATAGTCCACTCATCTCCGTGTCAACTCCACAAAACACAGAATAAAAAACTCAAAGGGAAAAATAAAATAATACAATAGCTGACTTTGTAAGAAATGGCCTCCATCACGTAAGCTGTGTATTCCACACCTGTATTTTATTACGTCATTATTTTGTCTCTTTAATAATTTGATCTTTTAGATAAGGTAATTATACAGTTCAACATAATATTAGCGTAGACATAACAAATATTGCTTTCGATCTTCATCGCTGCAGAATTAGACCCATATATAATGGGCGTTTTAAGAATATAATTAAGTAAAAACATTTACAACAATTATATATATGTTCCTCTAATGTTGGTGACATGAGATGTCAAAATGTGTAGCCCAAGATTGTCCTTATTTTTTATTTAGTGCATCCCACTCCTCACTTCTCCATTTTATATTAAGACAGTTGACTTTACTTCTCTATATATAACTCTCCTTTGATCATTCCTCATCACCAATCCCACAGTTACTAAAGAACTAATAATTTGGCCACCTTTGCAATTCCTAACAGTTCATTCATCCCTTTCCAATGGCCAGTCTTGATCAGGTACTAGCTTTTTTTAAATATTGATTATTGCACTGTTAAAGCTTGTGACCAATTTGACGGATCCAGGATTTGAAGAAATGGGTGCACGAAGAATTACGTATACAATATACCCCGTTTGGAGGGTTGATCATCTCTTCATGTGAACCAGAGTCTACTATACAGATCAGTCGGTGTTCAAACTTGAAAGAAGTGAAAAAAATTCTCTGACAAAGGGTGTTCAATATATGTTATATACCTCTAAAACCTAATATTTTACCTATATACGTGGTATAATTTTCCGACGAAGGGTGGTCAGATGACACCACCCTTTAAGAAATGTACCTTTTCACCCCTGATACAGATCCGTTACAGTTTGTGACTATCTCATTTAAAAGTTTAAGATGTTAGAAAGAATACGATTTTATTTACTTAGTTAGATATTCAAAATGATCCTTTACCACTTTATGATTCTTTATGAGATTCAAATCCGTGGCCAGTATCCGTTGTTTTAGTACAAGTTCTTATTTTACTTAATTACTATATATGCTAAATGTTTCATTGGCTTTTTCTCAAAAAAAAAAAGAAAGAATAACTACTCTCTTTTGACCTTTTATGTTCTCGGAACTAGCTGAATATCATTGGTCGATAATCTTTTTATATCTCTTTTTATATCTACTTATGTCACTGATGGAAAAATATGTGATTTTCAAGGTTGAAATTCCAGCACAGGAAGTTGCTCCTGAAGTCAAGCCCCAGCAGCAGAAGTTGCTGCTGAAGTAGCAGCTCCAGCTGCGGCTGAAATTGCGGCCCCAGCCGCAGCTGAAGTAGAAGCGTCAGCAGCTGCTGAACTCACTTTTACAGAACGAGCCCCAGCACCAGAAGCCTAAGGGGGAAGGAATGATCTGTTCGGCTTGTCGACCCATGTACATATATATATATATATATTGTGTGAATGTCCTTTAATAAAGATGAGATGAGAGTTCATCTCTAGGTGTGAATAATGAGAAGAACATTGATCTTAATCATTTACAGTAGTTTGAAAATTATAAGTCAATGTGTTCAATTTTTTGCTCTGTATTATATAGTTCGTATAAAATGGTGCATATTCAATATCGACTAAGCTTTATTGTACTGTATCAATTAGCTAAGCTTGATGAACATCGTCTAATCGTTTCTGTAGATAAAAAATTTATTTTGTATTAAAATGAAATGAATCTGAAATAAATTAAAAATATCGATATATACTAGAAGATTTATATAATTTTATTGACTTACTTAAAATTATAATGTAATCGATTGATCGATTAAAAAGTGAAATGTCGAATAAATCCTAGCCAATAAGTTTACGCAAGTTGTATGGATTGTAATAACTTAAGAAGGGTTTGTAGTGACTTCATTGAACGTGCTACTCTTGTTTCACCAGCAATTGTATTTCTTAATTTTTCTTGTTTCCATATATACTTGACTTGCACATTTTCACATAAATAAATAAAATAGAGAATGCAAATAGCTTGCGGACAAAGGGAAACCCTGAAAGTTGACGAAATTCTAGTCCTTTTAAGTTACTTGATTTTGAATTAATAATTTGTACATGTTCAATGAAGCTTTTAAGAGAAATACTACATTCATTGGTTATTGGGTTCGACTGAATGCGACCTAAACTCTAGCAACTTGATCCTCGGACCTGCAATACACGAGCTAGATCTCTTGTTCTTCAATCTTATTCTTATAAATGAAAAGATGCTTCATTGTAATGTGTCTCGTTCCAACAGGTTTCAGATTTGCTAAAGTGTATGAATAAATTAAAGCATGAACGATGCTCTTTAATTATCAGTTGCTTGTTCAACGTCCATAATTCAAGAAAAAGCAGCAGTCTTAGATTAATGTTTCCTCAAAGTAGAACAATCTTGGAGTAGAAGGTTGTTTCATCGCTTTGCTAATCTATTTTTATGGATCATAATTACATCTTTACAACTCACCCCAACTTTTCATGATAAAAACCTTTGAACTCCAAATAAATAAAGGCTCAATAATGTATTTTCTCAAACTTGCAAATTAACATAAGGTAGCCTGTTATATGTATATATATTTTTTGGTCATAGGTAGCCTGTTATATTGTTATAACAACAATAGTAATAAATTTGGCAAAGAATTTTTTACGTATTAATCAGCTTCCCGTTTAAAATTGAAAGCACTAGTTGATTTAGAGGGTATATGTGACGTCCAACGATGGACGGAGCTAGGTCGATCAGGGCAAGTTAAAGAGAGGAACTGGAAGACTTCTAAGATGGCAAGTTTCTGAAGAAGTAGGGATGATAATTGGGGCAGGGCGGGGCAAAGCAGGGCAGGGCAAACCTTAAATGGTGCGGGGCAAGGTAAAATATTAATGGGGCTGGGCGGGGTAAGGCAAAATGTTATTTTTGAAAAATGTTAATAGGGCAGGGTGGGGCAGGGCACTTTAGCCCATAACATAATGAAAGCAGGCCCAAAGCGTGACATATAGCAGCAGGCCTTTGGATACATTATTTAAACTAGAGAAACTTTCAGAAACCACTATGTTTTAGTGGTTATTAGCTAGTTGTAGCTACCATTTACTATATTACTTCCTATAGCTATGTTTTTTCAGGTTTTTTAGAGTGTATTTGATGTATTTAAGCTACTGTATTCATGAATATAGTGGAATTTCTCGGCGTGAAACAGGGGATTACCGCTAGACAGATTATTGTATTCGACTGTATTCGATTATATTCATGATATGTATTTGTGAATACAGTAAGGTAAATATCGCGATTCATGGTCTATTCAGCTGTTTTTAAACGGAAAGTGAATAAATTAACACAATAGACTCCTAATATAACTCAACAAACACAATTATAAATTTGAATACATAAATTATATTAATTAAAAAAAATATATGAATACACTGATGGAATATAGCGAGACAGTGAATACAATAAAATATATAGAATACAGCGAGATACATTGAAATACAATGAAATACATAGAATACATCGAGATATATTGAAATACAACAAAAAAAAAGGTAACAGACTCTTCAAGTTGCTAAGCCCCAAACTCCGTCGTCTTTGTTCAAGAATAACCCTAATGTCGTCTCGTCAAGAGGGCCGCGATTCTGACTAAACTCTCAAAATTTGGCGCAAAAATGAAAGAAATTCCTTATTTTCAATAGCAGATTGTCTTCTTTTGTTAGTAATTGCGAATTTGGTAGATGAAGAAAACCAGCAATGGAGGTGGTGAGAGAAAAGGACTGCGGCGACGGCGGGTTCTACCATCAGCATTTTCGGAATTTCAGCAACTGAGGAATTGAATTAGGGAGAGAGATCAGTGAAATAGAAGAAAAAAGTGCTGGGTTTTCAATAATCTTTTCGTCCATCTCTCTTCGTGATTGGGACGTGTGGTTCTCTAATGAGAGAGAAAAATAATACAAAGAGTATTTTATGGCTTAAGGGTAGGAGGTAACCATAAATAGATATTTTGCTATAAAAATCAAAAGGTAGCTATGAAATATAATTTTTTAAAAGGGTATTTATTTCAAATAAATAAGGTATCAACCTTTGTTATAGGAGGTAACTAATCATTTAAACTATAGTCAGATTTCAACCATTGTTTAAAAGTTAGTCAATTTTGAAAAACTTTAGACACTTCTTATAGCGTTGTTGCTTCTTCTTCTTCTTCTAAAATTTTGAACTGCCAGAGCTAACCTTATGCACCAAAGTCTAATGTTTGAATTGGCAAAATAAAAAAATAACAGAGGGTCTCACAAATCTGTGAACTAAAACATGTTACGACCCGGATTTCCCACCCTCGGGGGTCGTGATAGCGCCTACTCGTAAAAGCTAGGCAAGCCACAAATCATAAACTTCTAACTCCTTAATTTTAAAACCTTTTTATCATTCATAACAACAAGCGAATAATATTTAAATAACAGCGGAATATGAAATTAAAGCGAAAGACTTAAATTAATTAAGCTGAACAAAATGCGGAAACCGACATGTGCATCTACCCAAGAACTGCTGTCACAACATCCACGGACTACTAAGAGTGCTACATACAACCGTTTGAAAGAAATATAACACTGTTTGTCTCGAATACATGAGATAACAGAATGAAATAAAAGACAGAGGAGACGCGCGGGCCTGCGGATGCGTGCAAGGCTACCTTGGAGTCTCGGTGGACTGAAGGTTGGCTCCCATGCTACTGCTGCTGTCCGGAACTTGGATCTGTGCAAAAGAGCACAGAGTGTAGTATCAACACAACCGACCCCATGTGTTGGTAAGTGCCTAGCCTAACCCCGGTGAAGTAGTGACGAGGCTAGACAGGACTACCACATAAACCTGTACAGTTTTATATATATATATATATATATATATATATATATATATATATATATATATATATATATATATATATATATATATATATACAACGGGAAAATAACAAGAACAAATATTTTAAAGGGGAAGGGAACATGCTTCGGGGATAACAGATAATACAGAATTTCAAGAAAATATTAAAGAACATCAATAATTTAACTCTAACACGGATAAGGGAAATAAAAGCAGATTTCACTATCAGTACATATCTCGTTGCAGGCGTGCAACCCGATCCCATTTTTCAATAATTAAATCTCGTGGTACAAGTACCACCCGCTCCATTTTTATTAAATCTCGTGGTAGGCGTACCACCCGCTCCCATTTTATTAATCTCGTGGTAGGCGTAACACCCGCTCCCATTTCAATCAATAACTTGTGGTAGGCGTACCACCCGCTCCCATTTCATCAATATCTTGTGGTAGGAGTACCACGCGCTCCCATTTCGTCAATATCTTGTGGTAGGCGTACCACCTGCTCCCATTTCAAGTCAAGACAAGTCACAATAAAATTTCCGGCAAAGAAACAAAGCAATATCATAATAATTTTTCGGCAAGGGAACAACAATATCAAAACAACCATCCCGACAAGGGAGAATCAGCTATAACCAAATCCTAGCTCAATTCTTACTCAGCTCGATTAATCCCTGTACTCAAGCATAAATAAAATCCACGAGAATAAACTAAATCTTTACTCAATATCAAGGGTCATCAATTTAAAACATCTGAAGTGTCATTTAAGAACACAACAACTATCAATTTAAGACTCACGGTCATGTCGACACCAACGTATAGATACTCGTCACCATGCTAATACGTCGTACTCAACAAGAAGCAAATAGCAAATAAAAACTCAACTCCTAATCCCTCAAGCTAGGGTTAGACCAAACACTTACCTCGATGTCTTGAACGCAACTCAAGTCTCAATTATAGCTTTACCCCTTGATTCCATCACCAATCCTCTCGAATCTAGTCACAAGTTACTTAATTACATCAATAAGTGCTAAATGAATCAACCCCAATGCATGAAAATGAGTTTTCCAAAGTTTTATCCAAAAAGTCAAAAATCGCCCCCGAGCCCACGCGGTCAAAACCCGAGGTTCGAACCAAAACCCGATTTCTCATTCCTCCACAAACTCAAATATATAATTTATTTTGAAATCGGACCTCAAATCGAGGTCCAAATCCCCAATTTTTGAAAAACCTAGGTTCTACCCAAAACACCCAATTTCCCCCATGAAGATCTTTGATTTTAAGTTGAAATCATGTTAAAAGATGTTAAGGAGTGAAGAAAATAAGTTAGAAATCACTTACCAACGTTTTGGAGAAGAAGGGTTGTTTTAAAAATCACCTCTTATGTTTTTAGGGTTTTGAAAAGTGAAAAATGACTGAAAATCCCGTTTATTTATACCCCTCTGAGACCCCCTGTGCGGACCGCATTAAATGTACCGCGGCCGCACAGGCTTACCTGAAGACCTGCAGTTCAGCACCCTGTACGGACCGCACAAAGCCAACTGCGGCCGCACAGCCTTCACCTCGCCCCGCACAAAGGCGACCGCGGCCGCGCTGGCCCCTCCGCGGTCGCACGCGATTTCTCGCGGACCGCATTAGAGGGTTCAGAGACCTGCAACATCTGATTTTCTAGGCCTAAGGCATCCCGGAACCCACTCGAAACTCACCCGAGCCCTCGGAACTCCAACCCAAGTATACACACAACCTCAAAAATATCCTACGGACTTATACGTGCAATCAAATCGCCAAAATAACA